TAATGGAATATAAGGTAACCACAACAATGGGGTAGGGGTGGGGTTTAGTTTGGGTGTTGGGGAGGACAATACAAGCAGGGTGAGGAGGCACAAGAACAAGATAGATAGGGGAACACTGAGACAGTTTTGCATGTCCTAAGTGGGACAGAGGTAAATGTGATGCATGCTCAACCTTGGAACAACAGGGCTCTGGGATACAAGGATCTAGGTATAGCTTGAAGAGGGGAAATAATACTAAAATGCTTTACTGTCTTATGAATATTAGTTTCCCTTGCCTACTATTGTAAAATAGACACTTGAGTGGGATAGAAAGGAATGTTGGGAAACATGATTACAGAAAACTTGTAAGCTCGTCTTCAGCCTTAACTGATTGGAATACCTAAAAGGGGTTCTAGAACTTGCCCAGTGAAATAGGCTTCTTGCAAAGCCTTTATAGAGCATAGGACTTTAGGTGGAGTTCCATCCAGAACCTTATGAGGTGGGACATTCCCACTAGCAAGGAGAAGTAGACCAGCCTGGAACAGCTACAGTGACAGAAGATACGTTTTCAAAGAAAGATCATCAGGAAAAAAAAAAAAAAAATGTCAGCATGACTGGCTACTATAAGAATAAGCAAGCTGTCTGCTGGGAAGCCATCAAGGCAAGCAATCAAGTTCCTTCAGGACAAACTCCCCTCTAAGACTGAAACTCAAAGGGAACTCATGAGCAGGCATGTAAGCTTGCTGCTGACCACACTGGTGTACTGGTGAGTGGAAGAGTGGGGAAAGGCAGCAGTGAAGAAATGGGCTGAGTTCAACCACAGTCCATTGACTCCCATTGACCTGGAGATGAGAGAGAGAAGAGGAAGGGCTGCTTGGTCCAAAGTGTCGTGAGACCTGAGGACACTTGAGCCCATGGACAAGGACATAGCCACAGAGGGTTAGAGCTATGAGTGAAGCATCCAGCTGATATGAAGTGAGGGGAGATGCACAAGAACACCCAAACTTGCAGACAGTACCCATTTGACCTAGCCTCAATGGCTCGACAATCAGAACTTGACTAGAGGAAACAAGGGTAAATTGCTACAATTTGATGAACCTGACCTATACTCAGAGAGGTAGTTACTCTAAATACCAACAAAAAGGAAAGGAGTCTTCGCATCAAGTATCAATGCTATCCCCTCTGTACACAGGATAGATAGGGACAGGCAACTTAGACACTGGCTACCTAAAATGAGTGGGCGATAAAATCACAAAGTGACTGACTTACAAGGTTTCAAGAGGAATTTTAGTTTAAGAGTATTGGGGGAAAGAAAGAGTCCCCACTGAGTAGATTTCATCTTGTCTAGATAGGTCTGGTGAAAAGAGATGGGGATAAGATTCATATGATTCAATAGTGAATAATTGTTATCATGACTAATTGCGACTGTCATAATTGTAAAGATAGAAGTTTTGTAGCAAAGACAGGGGAGTAGTTAATCTTACAATCCAGAAACAGAGGAACCTGGGACCATCAAGGGAGAAGCGCACAAGCAGAATGCAGGACCTTATCCAGAGAAGCAGCAATGCCAGAGATACAGGCAGAGATGGGGACATGGAGAGGTGGAGCGGCTGGGACTCTAGATTCATGGGAAAAGAGGGACTAAGAGCTGGTGGCCAGAAGGCAGACTTGCAGAATGTGCCCTTTGGAGATGTAAATTGTTATATATGCCTGAGTGGTGTTTTTTACAAAAGCTAAAGTGGATAGAGAGAAATACTGTTAACTAATGGCATATGGAGGGGATTATAATCATTGTAATGAAACAAGGTGTATGATTTGTTGAATGTAAAACTGATGATCTGTCCTGTAAACTTTCACTCAATTCACAATAAAAAAAAA